GGCTCCTTGGTGGGATTGCTGGCGCCTCTGACGTGTGACCCCATGCCTGCATCCCGCCAGCTGGCCGTCACCTGTTTGAGCTCCCTTCTGCGAATCCAAGGTGAGTGGAGCAGGCGTGCTCCAGCCCTCTGCCCTCCTCCATAGCAGTACCAGAGCCCCACGGGCTGGGCCCTGTTTACAGGAGGGAGAGGAACAGTGCACAGTTCTCCTCTTGTCCCCACCCTGTCCTCTGTCTCTCCACCGTGGAAAGCGGTCCGATTTCCAGAAGAATGACTTCCCTTTTCTCCCTGTGCTCTTTCCAGCCAAAACAGTCAACACAGTCATTGAGATGGGTGACATCGGGAGCCTGTGCGAGGGGCTGCATGCCTGCAGCATCACCTCTCAGCTCCAGACCACATCCAAAATGGCAAGAGTAAGTGGACCCAAAAAGGGTTGGTGGGATCTCTCTCCGTAGAATTCTGCATGGCCCTATGCTGCCCCAGGCTCTCACACCATTTCCAAAATGAGCTGTCACCCTGAGTCCTGTTTTCTCAGCAGGTAGCAGGAGGCTCTGAGCTACGTCTGGCCTTCAGGCACCCAGTGCAAGGAGCTGATGCCATGATGTGCGTTTGTGTGTGTGTATGTGACTGTGTGTGTGTGTGCATGTGTGACTGTGGCTGCTGGGAGGTAGGCTTTGCATGTAAGCAAACACCATGGGTGCAGAAGCTGAGAGAAGGCTCAACCGCCTTCCGTATAAACAGCAGGGTACAGACAGCAGGAGCATTGTGAACCACTAAGCTAAGAATGCCCTCAAGAATGCTTTGTGTTTTGAAGAGCTTCAGCAGAGCAGTGGTGAGATCTCTCCCGCTTCTCATTTCTCTGCAGATCGTGTGCAGAAACTTCCCCCTAGAACGCACCGTTGACTTCATGGCGGCCATCAAGGAGACGATCGGGAAAGCCAATGGAGTGCGCGTGCGTGCGTGTGGGAAGTGGATGACCACCTTCCTGCAGATGCACGGGAAGGACGTCTGTTGGAACGTAAGAGACTTTCTCCCACGTGTCTTGGACTTGTTCTGGCCATTGCACATGGCTAGGCCCTGCAGAGTCCAGGATGCAGCAAGTCATTCTTTCTCCCCTTCTTCTCTCAGGTGCCTCCGATCCTCTACATCCTGCGCAGCATCACATCGTTTGCGCAGCAGAGCACGTTCCTGCCCTTCCTGTGCCAGGCGGTGGTCATCCTCACCCGCTGTCACACTGAGGCCGTAATGAACAACTTCTCCCGGCCGCTTGGGCCAACAGACAGGTACTGGCACTGCTGCCTTTGCTGTGCCTGAGGTCACAGTTGTAGCTGGCCTCTGCCAGAGGAATCCAGGGAGGAGGCAGCTTTGAGTCTGTTTGAGGTCACAAGTCACAACTTGAGACTCTTCTTTTTCTAGTGAGACGTGGAAAAGAATAAGAGAGTTTTGCCTTCAACGCTGGAGCCGGTAGAAGAACGAAGAGAAAGACAAAGAGGAAGAGGAAGAGAGGAGAAGGAGAAGGAGAAGGAGAAAAGGAGAAGCAAGGCGAGGCGAAGTGAAGTGACGAGAAGCAAAGCGGAGAAACATAGAGAGAAGAGAAGCGAAGCAAAAAGAGAAGCGAAGGAAAGCGAAAAGATACCATTAATCACATAGAGAATTGTAATTGTATTTGAATTGTAATTGAATTGTAATTGTAACACTATTATTATTAATATCTTTAATAATAAATAAATAAATAAATAAAACCACTATTTATATCAATATTATTAATATAAAAATCTCTCTGATAATGGGATTGTAAAAGCCAAATGGGAGGTGGCAAAAGTTCAGACACTCTTCCTTATCATAGCTGAATCAATTGGTTTGTTCAGAATTATGGAACAGACTCTAACATCTTCTTAGAGCATTTCCTGCCTCGGAAGAATTCGATCACATTATTCTTGGAAATCTAGAAAGCAAAGGATGATTAGTTATGGCTCTGACCGGTTAAGGACTTCCTCCCCAAGATGGGCTGCTGTGATGGAAATGATGTTCCTTGAGTAACAGACCAACAGCAAAAAGCACAGAGACCAGCACTGCAAACTGGTGAAGCTGGTTGCATGGAGGGCTTCTATCAGAATATTCTGCAGTGGTGTTAAAGGTTTGTTTCCGACTGCTTGAGTTTCCATGTGCATCCTGAATGGCCAATATGTTCATCCCTCGGTCTGTCACTGGCAGGAGATGTTATGTGACAAGAAACTGGATATGAGCAAGCAGGGTGCGCTTGCAGCCTGGAAAGCCAACTGTGTTCTGGGCTGCATTAAAACAGGGGAGGCCAGCAAGGAAAGAGAGATGGCAGTCCTCCTCTACTCAGCTCTTGCGAGGCCCCGTCTGGAGTACTACATCCAAGGCCTGGAGCCCCCAGCACAAGAAATATGCAGAGCTCTTCTATCAGGTCCAGAGGAGGGCCACTAAGATGATCAGAGGACTGGAACACATGTCCTACGAGGAAAGGTTGAGGAGACTGGGCTTGTTTAGCTGGAGAAGAGAAGGCTCTGAAGAGATCTCATTGTGCCCTTCCAGCTCTTGAATGGAGCATATAAACAGGAGAGGGAACAACATTTTACAAGGGTGGATATGATAGGACAAGGGGGGATGGTTTTCAACTAAGACAAAGGAGGTGTATGTTAGATATGAGGAGGAAGTTTTTCACACCGAGGGTGGTGACACACTGGAACAGGCTGCCCAGAGAGGTTGTGGATGCCCCATCCCTGGAGGCATTCAAGGCCAGGCTGGATGTGGCTCTGGGCAGCCTGGTCTGGTGGTTGGCGACCCTGCACATAGCAGGGGGGTTGAAACTACATGATCATTGTGGTCCTTTTCAACCCAGGCCATTCTGTGATTCTATGATTCTATGACATGTCTTTGCAACTGCATCTGTCTCTCAAATACAACAGATACCAGCCAGATGAGGCATATGTCTCCTGACGGGGAAATGTAAATAAAAAAGAATACAGCACAGTCATTTAGATAGGTGACATCAGGAGCCTGTGTGAGGGGCTGCATGCCTGCAGCATCGCCTCTCAGCTCCAGACCACATCCAAAATGGAAAGTGTAAGTGGACCCAAAAAGGGGTGGTGGGATCTCTCTCCATAGAATTCTGCACGGCCCTATGCTGCCCCAGGCTCTCACACCATTTCCAAAATGAGCTGTCACCCTGAGTCCTGTTTTCTCAGCAGGTAGCAGGAGGCTCTGAGCTACGTCTGGCCTTCAGGCACCCAGTGCAAGGAGCTGATGCCATGATGTGCGTTTGTGTGTGTGTATGTGACTGTGTGTGTGTGTGCATGTGTGACTGTGGCTGCTGGGAGGTAGGCTTTGCATGTAAGCAAACACCATGGGTGCAGAAGCTGAGAGAAGGCTCAACCGCCTTCCGTATAAACAGCAGGGTACAGACAGCAGGAGCATTGTGAACCACTAAGCTAAGAATGCCCTCAAGAATGCTTTGTGTTTTGAAGAGCTTCAGCAGAGCAGTGATGAGATCTCTCCCGCTTCTCATTTCTCTGCAGATCGTGTGCAGAAACTTTACCATCGAACGCACCATTGACTTCATGTTGTCCATCAAGGCGACCATCCAGAAAGCCAACAGGGTGCGTGTGCGTGCTGCTGGGAAGTGGATGACCACCTTCCTGCAGATGCACGGGAAGGACGTCTGTTGGAACGTAAGAGACTTTCTTCCACATCTTTGACTTTTTCTGGCTTTTGCAGTACACCTTGTGCCGTTTGTCTTGTGCTCAAGAAGCACACCATGAGCGCAGAGGCAGGGCTTGGACAGGGTGGCTGGCATGAAATTTAAACTTAGGCCTTGGCAGCATGTCAAGGGAGCAGGCACTGCTCATGTGCTGAATGTCCATGTTTACCCCCTGCATTCTGTCCAGGATGCAGCAAGTCATTCTTTCTCCCCTTCTTCTTTCAGATGCCTCCGATCCTCTACATCCTGCGCAGCATCACATCGTTTGCGCAGCAGAGCACGTTCCTGCCCTTCCTGTGCCAGGCGGTGGTCATCCTCACCCGCTGTCACACTGAGGCCATAATGAACAATTCTCCTGGCTGCTTGGGCCCACAGACAGGTACTGGCACTGCTGCCTTTGCTGTTGCTTCAGTCATAGTTGTAGCTTGTAGGCTGTTTGAGGCAAAAGTTACTCAATCATAACTTGAGACTCTTTCTTTTTTTAGTGAGACATGGAGGAAAATAAGAGATTTTTGCCTTCAGTGGAGAGGAGAGGAGAGGAGAGCTAAAAAAAAGTTGTATTATTTATTAAAAATAAATAAATGCCAGAATCCTGTCTAAGATGTGAAGAGTCTTTATTTTTATAGCTGTTGTCTCTTCTCCATACCAATTACAGAATCACAGAATCACCGAATGCGAGGGATTGGAAAGAACCTGGAAAGCTCATCTAGTGCATCCTCCTCCCTTAGCAGGAATGCCTAGATTAGGTCACACAGGAACACATTCCAGAGAAGGAGATGCCATAACCTCTCCAGGCAACCTGTTCCAGTGCTCCATCACCCTTACCATAAAGAAGTTCTTCTGCATGTTAGTATGGAACTTCCTCTGTACAAGTTTTAGGCCATTACTCCTCGTGCTATTGCTACACACCATCAAGAAGAGCCTGGCCTCATCCATTTGCCTGCCACCTCCTTTGAGATCATAGGATCATAAAACGGCCTGGTCTGAAATGGACTACACTGATAATCCAGTTTCAACCCCCTTGCTATGTGCAGGGTCGCCAACCAGCAGACCAGGCTGCCCAGAGCCACATCCAGCCCGGCCTTGAATACCTCCAGGGATGGGGCATCCACAACCTCTCTGGGCAACCTGTTCCAGTGTGTCACCACCCTCTGTGTGAAAAACTTCCTCCTATTATCTAACCTAAATCTCCCTTGTCTTAGTTGAAAACCACCCCCCCCTTGTCCTATCACTATCAGCACATGTAAACAGTCGTTTCCCCTCTTGCTTATATACTCCCTTCATGTACTGGAAGGCTACAATGAGGTCTTCCTGAAGCCTTCTCTTCTCCAAGCTAAACAAGCCCAGTTCCCTGGGCTTGATATGTTACCAAAAAATATCTGTAGATGTGGTCACCTTTTTGCCTTCTTCTGTGTTTTGTCCTCATGCAATTAAAAAGGAATTGATTTAATTGTTAATACCATAGATCCATAGATACCATAATAAAATCTGAAAGCTTGTTTCTTCCAGTTCATCCTTCATTTTCAACAACTACTTCTGTAGCTGTATTTTGTTCTGAGTTACTTGCTCTGACTTTTGTCAGCTATCCTGGTTTAATTGTGGTTTGTAATATTAGTTACTCTAAAATCTTCATTTTCTATGGAAGGAGATCTCAGCTTTCATTAATATGCAGGTTCTATGGCATGCAAAAAAAACTGGCTGGTGTGACCTCAGAATCATCAGAACTGAAAGTACTGCAAGACAGGAAAGAGTAATTTAACGTCAAACCAAACCCAACTCTAGAATCAAAACACTAGAATTTTTGTAGTAGTCAGTAGCAGACAGGAAAACAGCTTGGGCTTCCAGGCAGTTTATGTATATATATATATATGTGTATATATATATATATATATATACATGTATATACATATTTGGCACCATTGAGCCCAACAATGAGCTAGGTTACTTGGTGAATGTCTTTACTGACCTACTCTTTTTTTACCAAGATGTCCAGTTAAAACTCCCTCATTATTTTCTGACTTCACAGGAAAACCAGACAATACTTTTTTTGGCTTGGCTGAAAAAAAAAAAAACAGATTTTTGTGCTCCTTACAGTGTTTAAAATGTTATACACTGATAAAAAAAAGACTATCACAGCAATTTTTTTTTTTTTTTTGTACTTTTCACATCACATTTTTCTTCCAAATTACAAAATAACTTGTTGGGGAAAAAATAACAGCTTTTTAAAAGGCCAAAACCCATACTGGTTCTCTGATAATGTAATCTGAATATCAAGCTATTCCTTTTTATCATTTCCCAGTAATGAAATTCTGTTGGCCGTTTTTTGCCCCCAATTACAACAATTCATTGTCAACTGTTAACAAATCACACTCCAGCCCACAAAGAACTGGTCACGAAAATCTAACATTTAAAATGAACAGTTGCAGGCTATTTTATTTGTCACGTACATTTTTAACAGCGTATATTTGGGTCATGATTTAAAGGTTTTCTAATAAACAGCAAATATCAGAGGCCTTGATCTGGAATAGCAGCAGCAGATGCCATTACACATAATTTGTACACATATTATCACTGCATTGTATGACCTGTAATTCTTTTGTCTTTAAATGCTGATCTGTCACTTCCAGAGCTTGTAAAAACGTAAGTTCCTAAATGCATAATGCTGCCAAGTACAACAGTTTGTCAAAAGACCTACTCATATTCACCAGTAACTCAGCCTGTTCTTCATAATCTTGGCTATTTTCTGCTCCCAGAATGGCTGGATGTTCCCATATTCCACTTATCGAACTCCAGCCACCTCCCTCCCCTGTTTTACTCCTACCTGTCTTCCAATTCCCCATTTACCTGTCATTCCAATTCCCCATGCTTCCTTCTTTAGCTAAATGGCCATGTCCTTCTCTGATTATTTCTAGTGTTACCTCTAGATATTTTCTGAATACTGAGCATTTCTGCTGCTGCTGCTCTTTCTGATCCATGTTCAATGATTCATCTTCTAGAC